AGGAGTGAAACTCCACCCTTGCTTAAGGTCTGAAAAAAAACTGACTGATGTTTCTGTCCATCCTTCCACTGTGAGAAGACAACATAATGGGAAGCTGTCATGAAGCAGTCAGTGAGACAAGACAAATTACAAAGCAAACAAAGGAACCGTTGATTTTTCTCAGAACAGTGGACTGACCACCCCAAAACCCAGACTTCAACATAACTGAATGTTTTTGGGATTATTTGGTGCATGAGAAAGCAGAAAATGCAACCAACTTCGAAGACTGAACTTTGCAGGTGTGAAAAATATTACTGGAACGTGAGCAGCCTGGTCAGATTAGTGTGGTTAAAATAGGTTTTACTGGGGTTCAAGAGAGACCAAATCGAAAAACAGGCCAAGGTTGTTGTTGAAAAACACTGTGGAAACAGGATCCGTACATCACAATCACAATAGTCACAATACAAGAAATGACGCTCAGTAGCTCTTATGGAAAGCAAAGAAGCTAAAAGGCTTATATGCACAGGTGATAACTGTCAATACTCAGGCGAGGAGGAACAGTGATTGGTTGGTGCTGGAGGTGAGACTGTCAAGTGATCTCCCAGGGAATCCACAGTGGAGAGTGGTGTGCCAGTCTGGATTCTGGCTGATTGAGTCCTTAGCGAGAGCAGTGTCCGTGAGATGCGTGACAATTTCTTTGAAAACCTGAAAATGAGTCTCCTGACAACAATGGAAGCTGTAACACAGGGAAATCATGGACATACTAAATACTGAACATTTAGAATATATTTGGTGTTTATGTGATGACAGAAGGGCGGACCTGACTTTTTCATAGTATATCTGATCATGCTATGCTGCATTATGGTAGAACGATAGTAGTAAAGCTCTACATTTCCTATCATGTAGTTAGATCTAAATTAACCTCTAGTCACATTGCAAAGGAAATAAGAACGTGTTACCCCACTTGCCACACCAATTCTGCAGCCAGTTGTATTGTGTTTTGCACATTGCATCTTGACTCCATCCCACAGAGCATTGTGTAAAAAAACAACAAAGCAGTAAACATTTTATTTATTTGTCATGCTATACACAGAGCTATACAACAAATATATATATATATATATATATAAATATATATATTGTCCTGTAACACCCACCCCTCCTCCTCCAATCACTCCCTTAAAAAACAAGTCAGAACATTTGGATTATATGCATTTATATGCTCAAAGCCAAGCAACAAATGCCTCATTGTATGATGTGATCATTAGAATAAAATGCTTCCATCAGCTGCAGTGAATAGTCCTCGTCCTTGTCCTTTGAAACTTCTAGCATGAATATAATCAAATTATTTATGTAGAGAACACGTTTTATACAAGATGCATTGCGTCTATACAAAATGCATCACAATATGTTTTTCAGAACAGCCCTGAACACGTACCTTTCATTCAAAGAGAGTGAAGCACATGCTAACAAAGCACAGATTAATGGATGTTTTATGCATCCACAGAACAAGTCCGGCTTAGCACTATACAAATCAAAAGCGGCAGCCAGACAGAGTGCCTGCCCACCTTGGTCGCCCTGACAATAAGTCTGAGTGGGTAAAAAGCACTCTAGCTCTCTCTAAGAGCGTTAGCTGGTGAAAATGTCAGAGCGGGTCAGGAGGAAACTGAACAGCTTATTATGATCTGACCTTGGAATGGGAGAGTGAGCGGAAGGCAGGAGGCGGCATCGATGCTATTCATTTAGGCTTCCTTCTACATAAGTTGGGGCACTTGCATCACTTCCTGTGCAAGTTGTTTCAAGGCTGACTGTCCGTCGTCATCATTGCCCATAACTATGCACGTCTCCATGGCAACGATGACAGTCATTGACAATGCAGATCAGCATTTATCAGCATCTGATGTGCCCACTGTTTCCCTTTATTGCAGCTTCCAATCTTTTCATGAGACTCGCTGACAGTTTTTCAAGGAAATATGCAGGGATACTTTTCCACAACTCCAAAGTTCTGTCTTAGAAGTTGGTTGCATTTGTCTCCGAGTAATCCCAAACACATTCTGTGATGCTGGATTCTGGGCTGGCCAGTCTACTGTTCTGAGAACACCAGTCGGTTCTTTGTTTGATCTCCAAATTTTCTTCTTTGTTGTCTATCTCCTTTTCTCAGGAAGGGCTTCTTGACAGCTACACATTCATAGCATTCACACACTGGAAGGATGGACAGAAACACTTGTGGATTTTTTCAGAGCTGAAGTAAGAGTGGAACTTGATTTTCTCCTCTCTCTCAAAGATGAAAGCCGATGGTAACAGGTTTGGTGGTACCACGCATCCTTCTGTTTCTGACTCTCTGGAGGACTCCATTTCCCAGAATCCCCTGAGAGAACACGACCTGATACCCACACTTCCTAAATCTACCTCACTGGATTACTGATTCTGTTCACTTGGTCTATGTATCATATGACCTAGTTAGGATAGTTTATAAGCCTTTAGACTTTAGACTGTGAGGTTTTGCTTCTGTTCTGAGCTACTGAGCAGCCTTTTCTGTGTGTTTATTCTATTCCACTACTGACTTTGCTACTCTGTTTTTTGACTTTGCCTTTTTCACCTTGTCCCTTTTGGATTTGTTTGCCTGATCTTGTTTGATATATTTGTTTATTTTTGCATCTTGAGTCTTGGCTCCTCTCAAGGTTTCTTCCTCTTGCTCTGAGGGAGTTTTCCTTGCCACTGTCGCCACTGGCGATGCTCACGGGGGGCACGGACCCGAACTTTTTTCTGCTTTACAACAATGTCTGTTGTAAAAAGTGCTATGTAAATAAAGTTTGACTTGATTTGACTTCTTTTGTTGGATTTGACCTTGGCCTGTTTTTTGACAACAACTTTGGATAACAAACTGATAAGTCAAATTCTTTTACTCTTTTTATCTGCAAGCACCTAATTGATTCTGTCCTGTTCCAGGTGGTCATGAATGGTTGTTTTGACTAGAGTCTCTGATTTTGCAAAGTGCTAGTTTAATTTGTTCTTCATTTTTGTTGTTTTTCAGTTTTTAACATAATTTGAAAATGTCTGTTACTCTTTACATTGTCTGTAAATTTCATTAAAAACTGACTAAAAGAAGTGACCTAAAATGACTTGGAAAAAAAGTCTGGTTCTATTGACTTGCATTAAAAGTAAAGTGGGTTTTCCCTTTTCCTGTAAAGTTACCATTTTGGAAATATGAGGTTTTCTTCTGACAACAGCGATATGTTTCATTCAAAATACAGTATGTTAGAGTTATGCCATGAGGTTGCCAAATGGACAAGGCTATTTGGGAAAAGAAATCATGCCAAAAAATCACTCTATGTTGTCCGCTTTTGCCAAAAACAAACTTTCCCAGCTTAGTTGGCATTTTTATTTTTTTTGTGACAACAGTCACCTAGAAGCACAACCCTATTGCACTTTTGTTGTTATGGAGGGGAATGACAGGGTAGAATATTTCAGGCTAAACTGGCTGCCAAACCCCCTGTTATCGATGTCATGACAGATGCCATAATGTTTGATGTCATGACATTTTATGTCACATGCTCATTTTTGCTATGTGCTCCAGTCAGACGTCACAATATCAAACATTATGGCGTCTGTCATGACAACTGCTAGTAATGTCAGTGTTATATTACTGAACAGATCATAACAGCATATGACATCTGCCATGATATGTTCATGGGAATGTTATGTAGTAGGCATCAGTTAAAGTGTTACCTGGAAATGCCATTAAAAACTTCTCTGAAAACAACAAATCATACATACATACGTACATCATCTAAACTGCTTACCCTTCTGGGTCACGGTGGGGTGCTGGAGCCTATCCCAGCTGTCATTAGGCGGAAGGCAGGATACACCCTGGACAGGTCACCAGTCCATCACAGGGCAACAACAAATCAATGTTGGATAAAAGTAAAATTTACCATTTAGACCAGTGGTTCCAGTCCTTGCACTACTCTGCACAGTTTTATGCATTCCTTACCCTTACAAATTAATTTTAAAGCTATTCATAAGTTGGATCAGGTATGATGGAGGAAGGGAATGCATGAAACCATGCATGGCATTGTGTCCTCAAGACTGAAGCTGAAACCCAAGTTCTAAATCCTGGTCCTGAAGTATACCTTTCCCACATATTCCATTTTCCTTGCTTTACTACAAATCTTTCAATTACCTACCCATTTTTGAACTGAAGTAGGTGTAACAGGGGAAAAAATGAAGGATACTGCAGCCCCAGTGTTGAGAACCTCTGCTTTAGACTGCCAGCACTTGGCTTCTGGAGGCCACAGCACGTAGCTCCTCAGGTTGCAGTTTAATAGGAGGTTTGTTCAGGGACTTAATTAGCGGCAGACGTTTTTGAAGAGGCTAAGCGCCTTCGAGCACCGGTCAAATAAACAGAACACCTAGAACAACTCTGCCAATTACCACAGCTCAAATGAGGACACTCGTCCTTGGCTTCTTCGGGACTCGTTCGTGTCCACTGTTTACTTATTCAGGGTTAACGAAGCAGATGACCACTCATCCAGAACCTTTGGCGTTTGACTTTCATGAACGAAAAAAGGCCCAAAAGGTTGTAGCACAATGGGTCAGTAGAATATCTGCCAAATTTGCCTACCAAAAACATCCCATCTCTTGGCTTCCGTTTCTAGCCCTGGGAAAAGAAGCAGCCATCACCACGGCAACCTGCCCGTAATGAACTTCTGCAAAGTGCCAGTTTTAATTAGCAGGGAAGGGACCTCAGACAATTCTCAGGCTATGACAGAGCTGTCATTGTTAGCATGACTAAGCGCTCCAAGCAAGAGACAGAGTCCCAAAGAGAAATAATAATAATTAGATGGAGATAAAGAAAGAGAAAGAGAGAGCATGACAGAGAGAAGGAGAGAGAGAAACCAGTAGGACTGACTGACAGATTGTTCCAGAAGGACCACTCTCTTAGAAAATGAAACAAGGAAAACCCCATCAGTTCAAAAACCAGTGAGCCAGAGCTTGGCTCCATTTCTCCAGCGTCCTACCTGCAGTGCTTGTGAGGACCACTTAGGGTTTCAATGACGAAGCACTCCCCATCGTTCAGGCAGTAGGCCAGGTCCTTCTCCTGACAGGGCTTGAAGTGCTCCGATTTTAAAGGTGGGAGGGTAGGAGCCGCTACAAGACAAAGACAGGGCAAAGAAGATGGTTAGTGCTGAATATGTTCATCATGTAATCAAGATGTTGCAAACAGAGCTTCGGTTTTACAGTCCTGGACTAGGAGCACCACTGCCCTGCCTTAAGGCACCCAATTACACTCAGGAAAGGCACCACTGTAATATAAATAATTATGTATCCCTGTCTTTGAGCCAGTATAGTAAAGTGTGTCACAGTTTTATACAGCATTCCATGTTGAATTCTGAGAAAACATTTACAGTAAAGGCAGATTATACAGTATCAAACACCTTATTTAACGGCTACTGTATTATTATCGTGAACGTATTGTAATAATAAGTCATAACATTGCAAATGATCAATGTTACTGTCAAACTAGGTACTAAAAGAAGCAACACAGGACCATCATCTTCAATCCAATTTAATTTTGTTTTCCAGTTTTCCAGTTTTCCATTAATTAAATGTTAAAAAAGCTGAGCTGCATTGATATCTATGAATTGGTATAAATACAAGTATTGAATAAGTGGTAAAATTAGGTAACATGAGCATGTCTAACAGCATGCTAGAATAACTTTCACTGTACATAAAGTGTGGGATATTCAAATGAGTTTATAGAAATGTTATTTTTTTTAAATATGTCATTATATAGCAGAATTTGATATAGAAACTTTACAATTATCTTTTTTCTTTGTAAGAATCTGATTACCACTGCTACAATAATGCTAATCTTAACTAGCAAAAGGAGTCTCTACAGAATTTGCAGTGTCATGTTTGCACCAAGCTAACGGTGGTGTACATTCACTTTCCTACACTGAGTTTAATACTATATAGATTGAGCTTAAACAACATGTAAGACATGCATGTAGCGTATTTCTACTTTGTATATTGCAGTTTTTTTGGTAAATCCTTCAGTAAAGACTTCAATTTAAAGCCTCACTGTGAATGTTATTAGAGGAGACTGTTAGCAAGTTTGCCTTTGAAAGAGCAATCTGTATTTTGGAAAAGCTTTAATGAAACAATTAGCATTTTGGCAAAAGTATATAAGATGCAATTCTATGTGTAATTTTAAAAATACAGTTTTAAATATTTAATATCCTAATATGTGTGAGCATATATATAGGATTCAGACATATACACAAAATGCCTTTAACATTAAAAATTAAACTTGGTTAGTTTTTACACATTTTGTTAAAATTTGAGATCATTTGATGGAGAATTGACAAATGTTATTAGACTACGAAATTATGTCAATTATTTTGGGACACCCTGTATTTTATCATCATATATGCAAAGGTTTGGGCACCCTGGTCAAATTACTTTTTTTGTTGATTTTCTAAGTGAAACACATCATCAAACACATTTATTCACATTTTAATTCCCAATTGGATTTTGCTGAACTTAGCATATTAAAAAAATGCCATGTGCAAAACTTATATGTCAAATGTAGCAAATACGTAGAAATAGTTCCCTAAAATTAGCAGAAAAAAATGATTACAAAATATTAATCATATTACAAAATTAGAAAATTAGAACACTTAGAAAATCAACAAAAAAAATCAAAACAATGGTATCTTGGCAAGAAAAAACATCTTCATTCTAGTTCATTCTCTCATCATAGGATTGTTGTTAGATTATTCCGCCTGTTTCTACTTCTTGTAGAGATGTTGTTACTTCTTTTAAGTTATTTTATCTAGAGAAATTGAATAGCAAATTGCTTGAAACAAGCAAAATCATCTTAAATCTAATGAATATATCTAATATTTCTCATCATAAGATTGTTTTTAGATTATTCAGCCTATTATAGATGTTTTTTTTCCTTGTTTTAAGTAATTTTATTTAGAGAAATTGAACAGCAAATTACTTAAAACCAAACAAAATTATATGCCAATGCAAGACAAGTACACTATATAAAATTACTTAAAACAAGTACAAAATAACTAGTTCAGTAAAACTTACAATACTCATAACTTTTTCAAAATGAGAAATACTAGATACAATGTCAACATTTAAGATTATTTCACTTGCGAAAAAGTTTGCAGACACATCCTTCATCCTTTATTTTGTACATCCAAAAACTCAACTATGAAAAATTATCCCAGGCTTGTTGTCCCAGCAAACACTCCTCCTGACCCGGCTGGCACCTTCACCAGGGCAATAACCTAAATGCTTTGCCATTACTCCGAGCAGAAGCTGTCATTAGGCCTGGCTGAGGCAGTGCTATAACGTAGTGTGTAACGTTAATACAATGCGCCGGGTGTTTGCTTTTCTGCTGATCCGTGACTGCAGGAAGATGGATGAGGGAGAGGGATAATCGCTCTCTCTGGCCTAATGAGATTAATATAGGAAGCAGTCCACTGTTTGGGAATAAGACTCCATCATGATGAATAGAAGCAGGCCTCGCATTTGCCAAAGCCGGAACTCTGCTCTTTCTACTCTCCCGACAGCACACACACTCCAGAGATGATCTGTCAGCACGGCGATTGTAAAACGTGTCTTATGAAGTTCTGAAAGTGCACAGATGAATCAAATGACTGTCAGTTTGCCGCAGTTCAAATGTTGAGTGATGTATATTGAATATGCTGAGAGGTTATTCAAGCACTGAATATGCAAACAAATGTGTAGCTGCTTTACCATTCAAATGTTTGGGATCACTTGTCATTAGAGTACTGACCGATCTGATGTCAGGTATCAGTATTGGGCCAATATCTGCTGATATCTGAGGGGGAAATTGATTTAGCATCTGAAATAGCACTATTTGAAAGTGTTTGAGTAGTTTGAGCATGATAGTCTGTTTTTAGTTCATTTACAGGGAAGTGGTAAAAAAAAATACTCACTTTAAATGAGGAATTCCATCAATTCACTTTTAAATCACTGCATAATTCAGTTGTTGAGATGTGAACAAAGTCATTCAGAGTGGTTTGATGTGAAATGGTCCATTGTAGGAGAATAATTTACAGTGGGGGTAAAATTCACCGATCAGGCATAACATTATGACCACCTCCTTGTTTCTATGCTCATTGTCCATTTTATCAGCTCCACTTACTATATAGGTGTAATTGTAGTTCCACAATTACAGACTGTAGTCCATCTGTTTCTCTGCATACTTTGTTAGCCCCCTTTTGCCCTGTTCTTCAGTGGTCAACAGCAGTGCTGCTGGAGTTTTTAAACACCTCAGTGTCACTGCTGGACTGAGAATAGTCCACCAACCAAAAATATCCAGCCAACAGCGTCCTGTGGGCAGCGTTCTGTGACCACTGTTGAAGGACTACAGGATGACCAACACAAACTGTGCAGCAGCAGATGAGCTATCGTTTCTGACTTTACATCTACAAGGTGGACTGACAAGGTAGGAGTGTCTAATAGAGTGGACACAGCACTGCTGTGTCTGATCTAGTCATACCAGCACAACACACACTAACACACCACCACCACATCAGTGTTACTGCAGTGCTGAGAATGATCCACCACCCAAATAGTACCTGCTCTGTGAGGGTCCATGGGGGTCCTGACCACTGAAGAACAGGGTAAAAGGGGGCTAAATTGTAGAACTACAAAGTGCACCTATATAGTAAGTGGAGCTGATAAAATGGACAATGAGCGTAGAAACAAGGAGGTGGTCATAATGTTATGCCTGATCAGTGTATTTACAACTCAAACATCCCCATTCTATTTACTATCTAAACAACCAGTGAACTTACAAGTGTCTTCTGAATTTTAATATTGATAGTGGTTCAGTAACAGTAAATCTGAAATAAATACGTTTTCTTTGGGGACTACAAAGACGTAAAAAACAATTGGGCCTCAAAGCTATTATGAAACAATATCTAAGGCCTCAGGTGGCGTATTCAGAACTGTTTCACATAACTTTCTTTGAGAGAGCTGTTAGAAGCATCATACACTTGAGATGTCTTTTTCCTATCACCACCACTGTGAACAATTTCTTCACCTTAACAACTGACTGATGCAGAAACTTTAGTTTAGTTTAGTAATTTTAATGAGAAAATATGGGATCAGTACCAGCTGATACTCAAAATTTCAGTATTCAGTATCAGTATTTTCATTAGAAAAGAAAAAGGTAACATGCAAGTTCTGCTTGTTATACATATCCATCCATCCATCCATCCATCCATCCATCATCTAAACCGCTTATCCTTCTGGGTCGCGGTGGGGTGCTGGAGCCTATCCCAGCTGTCATTGGGCGGAAGGCAGGATACACCCTGGACAGGTCTTGTTATACATATAATTTTGTTAATTTCTATAAAGAGGAACTTATACATTACACAGCTGTAATAAGACAGACTTAGTCAGATGCATGCAGGTAAAATAAGGAGAAGAGGCTTTAGTAGTTTGTCCAAAATCTGCAATCAAGGTCAAAAAACAGATGAAGGTCCGATCCAAAATGAGCCAACGATAAACAAACATAGCAATAATAAGTACAGGCAACCACAATCCAAACAGAGCACAGGTAAAAGGCAAAGTCGAAAATACAAACGATGAGTCAGATACACAAACAATAAACCAGAACAGGGACAAGAACCCTCAGTAGCTCTAGGAAAGGCAATACCTTGCAACTAACCTAGCCTTAAACCCAGGCTTTTATACTAACTAAAACAAGTCACATAGTAAAGGAAACAGGTAAGGAGTATTAATAGTCAAGGGAAGCTAATCTCTGATAGGTGCAGCTCGGTGACATTGACATCACATATTCAACCGGAGAGTTCTGGGAATTGTAGTCCTGAGAGTCTAGGCTGAAGAGATGCATAAAAACAGTATTATAACCTATACACCAAAAGGTATTTTACATATTTGAAGCACAAGAAGATATTCATTAGCATGGAGTGGATGGGCAGGTCATAATATACCCTCACTGGTCATATTATTAGAAACCACTCACTTGTAGCTTCACCTTGCGAGAGTACCATGCTGATGCATAATTTGTGTTATCAGTACTCTAGCCCTTCATTGAAAACTGTACTTACTACTGTACTATATTAAACCAAGAC